AAAAGGTCATTGAAGAGGGCCCTTAGAATGATGAAGGCGATGCAAACATCATGTGGGAGAAGATGGCAATATGCGTTCGGAAGGTTGCTTCAGAGGTGCTTGGAGTGACCAAAGGGAGCGGATGCGACTCGAAGGACACTTGGTGGTGGAATGAAGATGTGCAAAAGGCTATTAAGGAAAAGGAGTGCTATAAGCACTTGTATCATGACAGGTGTGCAAACAACATAGAGAAGTACAAGATGGCAAAGAAGACTGCAAAACGAGCGGTGAGTGAGGCAAAAGGGTGGGCCTATGAGGACCTTTACCAACGTTTGAGTACGAAGGAATGAAAGAAGGACATTTATAGAATGGCTAGGGCTCGCGATAGGAAGACAAGAGACTTCAACCAAGTCAAGTGCATAAAGGATGAGAGGAAGCAACTCTTGGTGAAGGAGGATGAGATCAGACATAGATGGCAAGAGTATTTTGATAAATTGTTCAATGGTGAGAACGAGAACACCACCATTCAGTTGGACGACTCGTTTGATGACACTAACAGACGCTTTGTGCGGAGGATTCAAGAATCGGAGGTCAGAGAAGCCTTGAAAAAGATGAAAGGGGTAAAGCGATGGGCCCTGATGGTATCCCAATCAAGGTGTGGAGATGTCTCAGGGATATAGCTATAGTATGGCTAACCAAGATGTTCAACAATATTTTTTCGGTCGAACAAGATGCCTGAGGAGTGGAGACAAAACATATTGGTACCAATCTACAAGAACAAGGGAGATATCCAAAGTTGTATTAATTATTGAAGAATTAAGTTGATGAGCCACACTATGAAGTTATAGGAGAGAGTCATCGAGCAGCGCCTGCGAGGAACGACGTAGATATCAACAAACCAATTTGGTTTCATGCCCCAGGTCAACCACAGAAGCAATCTTCTTAATAAGACAGGTTATGGAGTGGTTTAGAGAGCAGAAGAAGGACCTCCACTTGGTTTTCATTGACTTGGAGAAGGCTTATGACAAGATACCAAGAAATGTTATGTGGTGGTCTTTGGACAAACATAAAGTCCCATCAAAATATGTGACCCTCATCAAGGACATGTACAATAATGTTGTGACTAATGTTCGAACAAACGATGGTAACACAAATTACTTCCCGATTAAAATTTGACTTCATCACATATCAGCCTTAAGCACGTATCTCTTTGCCTTGGTAATGGATGAAGTTACCAGGAACATACAAGGGGACATCTCTTGATGTATGTTGTTCGCTAATGATGTAGTGTTAGTGGACGAAAGGCAGGTGGGAGTAAATAGAAAACTAGAGTTATGACGACAGACCCTTGAGTCTAAAGGTTTTAGATTGAACAGAACTAAAACCGAATACATAAGATGCAACTTTGGCGGAGTTGTACAGGAGGAGAGAGATGTGAGTTTGGAAGGTCAAGTAGTGCCTAAGAAGAATACCTTTCAATATCTGAGATCGATGCTACAGAGGGATGGAGATATTGATGCGGATGTTAGCCATAGAATCAAAGCAGGGTAGATCAAGTGACGACAAGCTTCTGGCATTCTCTGTGACAAGAGGGTACCACAAAAGCTAAAAGGCAAGTTCTATAGAACGGCGATTAGGCCGGCTAGGTTGTATGGAGCAGAATATTGGCCTACAAAGATTCGACATGTTCAACAACTGAGTGTTGCAGAAATGCGTATGTTGCAATGGATTTGCGGTCACATAAAAATGGACCGAGTTCAGAACGATGATATACGTGATCGCCTAGAGGTAACACCAATTGAAGAAAAGCCTGTCCAACATCGGTTGAGGTGGTTTAGCCATGTTCAAAGGAGACCTCCAGAGGCACTACTGCATTGTGGAGTCCTAAATAAACTAATAATATGAAGAGAGGTAGAGGAAGACCGAAATTGACACGGGAAAGACAATAAAAAGAGATTTAAAAGTTTAATATATACATAAAGATCTAAGTTTGAATAGGAGTACTTGAAAAACAAATATTGAAGTGCCTAAACCATGACTTAGAGCTCTTGGTGAGTTTCAACTCTAGCCTACCCCAACTTGCTTGGGACTGAAAGGTTATGTTGTTGTTGTTGTTATCCTAACATTAGTTGCTATGCATGATTGCATGAAGATACAGATATAATTAAGTGCTCCACTAAGAGAAAGGAACAATATCTTGGAACTAGGATTGAATCACTGCTTTACCTCTTTTTAAAAAGTGGCGAGTATTATTTAATTAGTGCAACAACTGGCCATTTTTAGTATGCAAAGCAAACATGACAATAAATTAAATTGTTAAGATCCCTAGTTCTGGTCGAACGACATGGCAGCTATAAGCATAACAAGAAAACAATGTTATTCTTCACAATATTACCATGTAGTTTAAACACAAACAATATAGGATAAGGATATATCTTTCATTACCACTAGCAAGACCAAGACATGAAATGCACTATTATACCAGGCAACCAACAGGAAATTGTTGCAAAAACAAAAGTCAACAATTATCAGGGCAATGGCATGTGTAACTTTAACGGTAACCAAGCCATTTTTACCATCATCAATAATAATTATACAATGATGTCTAGATTAAAGAATAGCCCGAAAGTAAACCAGTTGTTCAGCCATGAGAGCAAAAGGGGAAGACAAATGAGCCATGAGTTAGTGCTTTGAAAATCCAAATCTCCGATGTTGCCTACTGAAAGCTAATTGAAAAATATATTCTGCAACAGTAACTATCATACTATCTGCATCTTCTGTTATCTATTAACAAGAGATCCAACTAATGAGTCACAGCTGCAAGATAAACAGCTCAAAATTCCAGCCTATAATCCAAATCACTACAGCAACTTCTATCTAGACATTTGATATCGGTGGCATCCTGCAATAAATATCTCAATTAGTTGATAACTAAAATTCAGGAAGGAGGATGATTGCAGATGTGCAATGTTATTATTAAAGAAGTTAAAAATTTCACAATTAGTTGATTACTCAAATTCAGGAAGGAGGAGGATTGCAGATGTTCAATGTTATTATTAAACAAGTTGTGTCAGATAAAAGGGACCAAGTTCTTCCAGAACAACAAACCAGTATAGGCCACTATCTGGTAATGGAAAAATATCATGAATTCAGGTAGCATTGGCGAACTAATGAAAAGCCTGAGTTTACCTGATTTAATGGGCTGGGAAAGAACTGCCTCCCAACATTTTTCCCTGTCTTCGTGGTGAGAATTAAGCAAGCTCCAGCACCGCATGGGGAAAGCATATCTGTTGCTGATGTCTCTGAATGTACAACCATGTTATTTCGTGCATTTGCAGGGGCAGGAGATGGAGCATCGCACCACTCAAAGAAGTTGCAACCCCCATCCTTATGGTCAGAAAAGAAGTAAATAGCATCAGCAATCAGCAATTTCAGCATAAATGAGTCAAAACAGGAAAAATAAATGGAAACATCTTGCCTAAGATTCAGATGTCCTTTTTATAATAGCCATATGTAACTCCAATATTACATGTGCATGTATACATCATCTAACAGATCAAAACAGAATTTTGCTGGCACATCTTTTCAGATGTTAGAAACCAATTGAACACCAGTGGAACACTGCAATCACACACATCAAGCCTAATCCTATAGGCATATACGTATGTGAATCTCTGCCTCTTGGTAGCCAACACTCCTACCAGATCGTCTTGGATCCGCCACTGTCAGCAAGGACATCTTATTATGATCATCTGATGCCCATGCAAGTTTGACCAAAGTAAAAAGAAACAAAAAAATTATTTTGTGTATTGATGCAATTTTTCTAGAGCCAGACAGTAACCTAATAATCTAACTCATCAAAAGAAATTCCCTGTGATCAAAGAAAAAATGACTGGTTAATGATTGGAAACCCAAGCTGATTTGGTAGGTGCTTTTAAGATGACAGGATGTCAGCGATTATAAAGGTGGAGACATTGATTCTAAGATAACAGACATCTGAGAATACCATTCCAACAATACAAATTACAAATATACACAATTTGTCAATAAGCTGGCAAGCAATGACATAGTAATAAAAAAAACTAAGCAACTGAAAAGATGAGGACATCTAAATAAGACTAACAAGCTGATTAAGCAATAAGAATATAAGTTATAAAATTAACATAGCGTAAGATATTCACTTTCAAGTGCCAGTACAACATATCAAAAGTGTTCTACACATCATGCGCCATCACTCACAACACAAACAAGCTTATGTACCCCTGAACCCATATCTAAGTATCCTACACTACTGCACGAGTAAAGCTTCGGCTCATGTGCACACTCCCACCCGAGGAAAACGTACAAAGAGTGCTCCTAAACCACGGACATGCATCCAGAGAAAACTAAACTAAGCATGAGTTTAGGACCTCATTTCATGATATTTGTCAAGGATGAAGTCTAGAGGCATAGTAACATAGAACATAGGTAGACATGGCATTACTCCATCTAATAAAGACAAATACATTAAAACCCATTTTGCATAATTTAATTTTATGACTACTCAGTATGCATGCTGAAAAAACAATGCGCCTGCTCAGTATGCATGTTGAACAAATATTGTGAAATGTACGAGTAGCATTACCAGGAAACACAGCTAAGGGGCTATTTGGAAGATCGGTTTAGGAGCTAAAACCCTTGTAAAATACGTACCCATAAAATTTACATCTGAACTTGTACAAAGGTGTTTGGATGGAATGTAATCCAAAAGAAATTACCACCGGTTTAGACAAAAACACCTGGAACTAAAAAAACCACCACCGCTGGCGACACTTTTTTTTTTCTGACAAATGTCAGCCACTCATGACCTGCGTTCTCTTACTTCGCCTTCTTCCTCGGGCAATCGTCTGCATCAGCACTAGTTCGATGGCTCTCTGCCGCTGTCCTCCTCCAGAACTCCACTACTGCCAGCCTCTCCCTGTCTGTCTCTTGCGCCAGAGACTCTCTCTTGCCCGCCTCCTCTGATGCTGACAAATTTCTCCTCACTGTTGCCGCAACCCTCTTGATGCCAACGCTATCGCAGCCATGAGAACATGAACAGGAAAGATGTGAAAAAGTTTAGCCACCATGGAGATGGAGATGTTGGACCATGCGACCTCAGCAGCCAGCGGGATGGCCAACCTATAGAGAACACCATGGCACTATCAAGTGTGACACAACAACACAGCAGAGCAGCCACCATCTATGCTTGGTCCTTCCTCATAGCGAGCTGCAAGGGATTCAGGTTCTCTGCCAAGACCACCGCTCATTTTCAGGCTCTCATGCTCCTTTCTGATATGTTTAGCTCTTTGCTTATGTCTGAATTTTCTTCGATTATATCCAATTTGATGTTCTGGTGTGAAAATTTTGAGCACCAATATGAATGTTCGGACTCTGAGATACCATAGCGATAGGGGATCTTGATAGCTCCTGAGGATCTCATCGTTTACCCAAACTGACATCAATTTCACATCACTGTTCTCGATGCTACTTTGGTCATGGTCATTTGCTTTTACTGTCTATTTTGGTTACCGTTGTTTGCTTTTACTGTCTGTTTAAGTCACTAGCTGCTATGGCGAGACGCAGGTTTGTTTCTACCTCTCCGCAAAATAACAAATTACAGGCAGAAGTGGATACAAGGGTTTCCTAATGCACAAGGAATTACAGGTGTAACAAATTTCAGCTGTAAAAAGATTACTAAGTTACCAAACAGGTCCTAGGATCGTGTAGGGAATAATCGCTGGTCCTAATACTAGAGCAGCAAATCAAGTAATCAACATGCCACAGACACAGCACACGACTGCTTCGACCAACCAGCAAGGGGGCCCAAAAATCGCTACAGGACTATAAAACCCTTCAGAGACCACGCAAAACAACAAGTACATCCTAGTCATTACAACATGCACATGCCAGACCAAACAAATTAGCATCGACAAGTAATTGTGCGCTCAGGGCCATGTGGTCAGCTGATTCAAAACACTCACCCGCATGGGACACTTGTAGAACTTGCGACCGGGGTCCTTCAGCGTGTTGGAAGGGAGCACGAGACAGGTCCCGGCACCGCAGGGGCACGCCTTGTCCTCCACCTTCATGTCCGCATTCACATATCCACCGCCGCCGCCGCCGACGCCGATCTGATCTCCTCCCCCGTGTTCGGCACCGACTGAGGGCACTCCCGCGCCCAGTGCCCGGGGTCCCCGCACTTGAAGCACAATCCGCTCGCCACCTGGGCCCCGCTTGTGGGCATAGCCATGGTCTTGCATCTGCTGTTTCCAGGTGGATCTGTGGCTGCCCTTGAGTGCGGCCAGGTAGGGCCCCTCAGGGGTGGCGGGTGGGGTGGAGGGGGTCGATGAGGACGAGGTGGTGGAGAGGCGGCGGCGCTTGGAGGAGTCCAGCGCGGCGGCCTCCGCGGCATCGAGGGCGAGGAGGAAGGCCTCGTCGTCATCCCCGTCGGCAACCGACATGGTCGAGAACGAGAAGCGTGTTGGGGCGGCCGGACGGGACGGGAGGCGGTGGGCGGTGGCGTTTGAGTTTTGGGGAGGGTTTGGGGCGGGGAAAACCGGGAAGACGAGACGGTGCGCGCCGCTGTGACTGTGAAGCGTGGAGCGTCAGAGGGAAGGGATGTGGGGAAAAAATGAGTACGTAGTGGGCGGTGGGCTGGCTAACGGTGGTTGCAGCTGGGCCACTATGGACATTTTGGAACTGTGGCCCATATTCATTTTCTTTTGAATTGCATAGCACAACATTTTTGTATCGACTGAAGGATCCCACCAGTATTCCAATAATAAGAAAATATATTACACGAACAATCTTGGAGACTGGTTAATCTATAAATCGGTGAAATGGTGGAGTTGGAGAAATTATGTTGAACTATTTGCACAAGTTTACGATCCAAATTTGCATTCTTCCTATGAACATATGCATTTTATGAATTACAGATATAAGAGGATCCCGTCTCTTTTGTTTGTTTACTCCAAAGAATCAGGCTACCTGAAAACGCGGGCACGTCACTCCTAGGAAGAAAATCAGAACCTCGTGGTGTGTGACAATAAGAGCACTAATTTTTCACTATTAGTAACAGTCATTTGCTTATTCATTACTAATTTAACATTAGTAATATTACGACCAGTTTAGATCTAATGATGACTTCAAGTAAACATTTGGTCCACCCCAAGAATCCTGAACAATTAAGAACAATAACTTTCTACTGTGACTATGAGTAAACAGTCATTTGCTATATTTGGACAAATCCAAGAATCAGTGCATAGTTCTCACAATCTTGATAGTAACAAAGATCGTATCTTTCCCAGAATAAAAATGCAATCTAGCACCCTGTTCGCTTGAGCTACTTTTTCAGCTATGGAACAGTGTTTTCCTCTCACAATATTTCAGCATAAGCATCAGCATAGACCAAATTTCAGCATAAGCGAACAGGATTCCTTCCCTAACTCAAAACACAGAGAACCATATTTGTCTTGTACGGCCCTGATTTCTGAACTTCGATATGAAAGACAGGTACGGCCGTGATTTTCTCCTTTGGTGGGACAAATTCAGTAAAGATTCACATTCTGCATGGTGAGCAAATTCATCAATGTTTTTTTCTAATCACTTCTCAGCACTATTTCGAGTTTCACCCTGCAAAACAGGAAGTACTGGACTTATAATTCATCATATAATTGAGAGATATTGGTGCAGCAGGGATAAAAAGGTACTAACCAGGGAACCACCGATTGCCCATCACCAGTATATTCATCCCATTGCCGAATACTTAACACTGAAGGCCAAATCCTAAGTGTAATTGATGTTTCAAAATTACCAAAATGCTAATCCACATATATCAATTTATTGCATAAACCAAAGTATGGCAATCTTTCTCAAGATATTTTTTAGAGCAGCAACAGAGAGAGACTTCATGTGACAAGAATATCCGCCATGCAACTGGATCATGGCACTAAGAAAACATCCCACCTCCCAGGGGAAAAATGTAGAAGAGAGATACATAATTTCTGTTCATACTATGAAACATGACAATCTCCAGCAAGTGACTGACAAATAAAAAAAAAAAAGTCTATTCAAGCTCATGTTGCCTACCAGAAAAATAATATACGTAAGAGCATCAAATATTCTAATTTTTTTGATATCTAGGATCAGTAAGCTGTAGGAAACACAGGTTAGTGGCAGCTTGCTTTCCACCTTGTATAGTGTTTTTCTCTGTGACTCTAGGAATAAAGTGGAATCACAAACAATACAGGAATATTGGGATAAGATTTCACTTTATTTCATAAACATGTATGTATGAAGGTGGAGAAAATGGCTAGCAGAGGATACATCATTACAGAGCTGAGATAATCCATCCAAAAGCACAAACATTTAGGCATAGCCAAAGGTGTGGTTAAAAGTTTCCAATGATCTCTGGCAGTAATGTTGGAGTAATCTTCATCTTGGACCTCTTCATGTTCATCAAAATGTTCGACAGACTGTACAAGATGTTTTCCACACCATGAGCTGGCCTAGTATAGATTCACCAGCAATTAAATTTGCTTTCATTGATTGAGCAAGATTGCAGATATAACCGACTACAGTTGGCAACCACACTCCAAAAGGAGCCGGCAAAGCCATCAATGCTCACAACCTTGGCATTTTTCTTCAGTAACCAATGTACAAATCTGAATGTGAGTTAACCAGCAACCGCATCAAAGGAGGGAACCATATGAAGATGGGGTTAGACAATGTCCCTGTTGATGTTGCACTTTCCATCCACGGCTTTGTAAGGGTAGTCATCTTCAATATTAATGCCTCCATTCTTTATGATAAAGTCAAATGCAGCATCCATTAGCCCACCATTGCAGCCACTCTTCCCTCCATCAGTGAGCACTCTACAAGCTCCTTATACAAGTAACAATGTGGTTAATGCTTTCTACTATGCTTACTGCAGAGAAAGCCCAGTAACTTCCTGCACGCCATTATTGAATAGATTGTAAACGATGGAAATAGTCTCCTTCCCAGACTGCATAAGTTACAATAGTACTGACTTTATACATATGAAGAGTGTGTACTGACTTTATAACATAGATAAACTACAATCTGTAATCAAAACATTTGTTTTGCAGTATTTTCCCATTTTTTTATCCTCATGGGCAATTTTACAAGCAACCATAGTTGTTTTGATTCTTGCAAGCGACTATCATAGGATGTCTCAGCAGGCTACAATACAAGACGAATAACAATCACCACAGGTTTGATAATACCACAAAGAACATACTTCCCAAGTACCATCAAACAGACATGTTGTGCATATATGACACATGTGATAACCCAAAGAACCCCAAAAAAGGTTGATTCAAAATCTGCTTAAAGCATCCCTTCAAAAAGGAAGCCTGGTTAAGGTCCTCTAGCATCTGACCGGTAGATACTACTAACAGGATCTTCGATTGGAAGACCACAACAAAAAATAATCCTAAAACAGTTGTCTTACACCAGAAAAGCAATTTGAAAGATAGCTCAATTGTAACCCTCAAAATAGGGAATGCGCAGCACCCTAGTCAAAAAATGGTGAGGCCAGTTCCGTCCAAATTCCACAATACACGAGTCATGCCCTTGCTTCATCCAGAAGAACCACGAAAACAAACCCCTTCTGTTCAGTTCATCTAACCCTTTGGGAAAGAAAAATCCAAGCACAAAGGTGAACCAGCTACTTCAATGCTAAATAATATGTTCACAAAGGAAAAGATATCTCATATGTTCACAAAGGAAAAGATCCAACTTAACTATAGCTTTTCAGATCTATTGCTTGTTATGATGGGGGGGGGATCTATGTTTTTCAACAAAAATCAGAGTACTTGAAGAAATAATTTAAGCATCGGTCAGAAATCTGCATGGCTTTGCAACATTAAAAGGCCAGGAAACTTGGCAGATTTATATGAACCTTAAAAGATCTAAAGCAAAATCGGCCTGTGTGCATTTGTGGTGCACAGCAGGTACAAAAGGCCTTCAGGAGTTGCTTGCTAAGGCATTTGCTGGAGGCCATTGATCTATTTTGGTTCTAAGGCTCTAGCTGTCTTAGATGGGTCGCTTTTGTCTCTTGTCTCTGGGGTTAACTGAGGAATCGCATCTGCTCGATAGTGTTCTGGAAATCAGAAATCTGTCGCGAAACTATGACTTTTGTGTGATTGAGACATCAATACTATACAGTCGAGTAATAAACAACTGGAAAAATAAGAATGCAGCTTAAATCTCATAGTCACCACTCACCAACCTGTTTCAGCACTCGATGTATTTCTCTGCAAAAAAATTAGCAATAAACTGGCTCCTACCAAGAGTAGATATCCTCATTCTTGTTGTAGAGGTCATATTTGCACATGATTTCCCACCCTTCTTCTCAGCTATCCCCACATACCTTAGACTCCAGTTCAATAGGCTTCCCGCTCCGTCGGCACCTTATGATTTCCCGTGACTGCTCCATCAACTCAACATACTTCTTGCGCACTTCCAACATGGGGTGCTCCTCAATTGCAGTGTCTTCCCCAGCCATGTACGCTTCTTTGAGGACAACAAAGCATGTCTTCTCCTTTAACAACAAGTAGAACACATGCGGGTGCCGCTCAAACACAAGATGGAATTTCTGTGGCAGCCCCAGGTGCTGCCGGAGGCAGCATAACCGCCGCCTCTCAGCAGAGCATGTCACAAACAGACTAAGCAGCTCATGGAGCACCCCGACTGCCCGCCTCTCTGAAACATCACTACCCCGATTGATGTGGCTGAAATCCTCATATGGAGATACATAAGGGAGCCTCTGGAACCGTTCCAACCAGTCCTTAATCTTTTGCTTCAACCGAAGACCCTTTGACGGGAAGAGCGGGACAGACACCTCTTCCACTGACCGCAACTTCCTCATAGCATTCAGCTGGAGAACTGACAGAGGCATTTCTTCATCCTTTGCATCGTCGATTAGCCCCAATTCCCTCCAATCGTCACCATCTCCTGAAATTACAATCTTGAATCCATCCTGTGCAATGTCGTGATCCAGGTCCTTAAAGTAGTCCTCAGGGATGCCAAGATGCCAGAGCATGCCCTGAGCGACACGGAGCGGGAGGCGGCGTCGCGGGCTCATCAGGACGACGCGGCGCAGGCAGCCACAGACATCGGCACGGCGGGCGGCGAAGACGTCCCGCTCCTCCCGCAGGAGTCGGGCGGTGGCATCAGAGAGCCGGAACCAGGGGATGTTGTGCTGCCCCACGGACTCGACGAAGGCGGCGGGGAAGCGGCGGAGGAAAGCGGTGACCCGGCGGTCTGGGGTCTCGAGCGAGGGGCCGAGCTTGGAGACCGCAGATACGGGGGTGGGCGACGGGGAGAGGAGGCGCGCGAGGGAGACGAGCGGGCGGATGTCGCGCGCGTGGGAGAGCTCAGGGACGGCATCGAACGAGGAGTCCTTCTTCCGTCGCATCGTCACGTTCACGTACGCCATGGACTGGAGGTGGACGGCGAGGGGAGGGAGAGGCTCGAGCGACCGAGGTTTCGCGAGGGACTGCATGGTGCGGGGTTTAGGTGGGTTTCCGGAATCTTTGGACGGAGGCAGCAACGGCGGAGGAAGAAGGGTGGGCCTGTGTCTGCTCCTGTCCCGCACAAGCGCGGGCGACTCCATCCCCGGCGGCGCTCTCCCTCACACAGGCCGGGTATTAGTCTCGGTGTACGTGTTGAGTTCGATCGGAGCGAAATTAAATTAAATTTTATTTTATTTCACTTCGACGTATATGAATCGAAATAGATACATACGTATCAGACGAGGCCTCAGCCGGGCAGGCGGCGCGGGTCAGCAGTGCTTGCGAGCATCAGCGTGTTTTTTTTTATGGTTTGCTAGACGCTTATGCTGATTTGTTATGAGAGAAAAATATTATTCTATGTCCATCGAACTAAATTATCTTCGGCGGGTGGTTTAGTGGAGGAGTCGAAGTTCTTAGTTGAGTCAATTTTTTTGAATTTCCGATGTGTTTTTAGGCCTCGCTTTTGTAACAAAGCGGCGCATGAGCTCACTGTTTTAGGTCTGTCGTGTGTTGAGGGGAGGAGCACATTTCGTGCTGTGTTCCTGTAAACATACGTGTTCTGGTTGCTGACGATTTGTCAGCAAGTGTGCAATGAATTGATCCGGATTCAAAAAATATATTAAAATAAAATTATTTAGAAGACAGTTGGTATATCATCCTCCATCCTATAAAAAGTGTCGTTCTCACTTCAAAAAGTCAAATATTTTCCCACTTCCAAAAAGCCAAATATTTTCAACTTTAAAAAACATATAAGAAAATATTAATATTTATAGTGCATAATTATTAATTATATTAGATAAATCACTGAATATGTTATCGTAATAAACTTATTTGGAGATGCAAATTTTACTAATATTATAAACCCCATAGCTATACTTTTTTCGAGACGGATGGAGTAGAAGACATGCTATTCGTATCAATAGCATTTAAAGGCATAATTCATCCATGCCAACTAAATACCCACCGGTAACTTTATACTCGCCGTATAGCCAGCTAAAAACTTAAGATATGCAATGGTAACCTATGCATGACCCAACTTCAGGCGCAGTCAGAAAGCAAGGCAGATTCAGTAATAAAGAGTTAGGATCTATATCCGGTCGAGGCAACGAATATGTAACTTTACCCCCAAACTACATATGAAAGGGTAGAGTCCCCCCGATCAACATCACGAACACACAACACCCCACGTCCTTGCAATCCCCGGCACGCAACACACATGCAATAAAGGTTTCTTTGTAATTGCAATCGCTTTAATATATTGCACGTAATCTGTTCAATTACCCGCACGAATATAAAAATACCGATGAATGTGGGCTCAAATCTCGACTATGTCACACCAAGTGCCGACCCAATCTAACATTTTGATGAGTCTAGTTCATGGAGATAGTACTTCCTCCGTCCCAGAAAGAAAGTCTTATCGGATGTGTGTAGGTTAAATTTTTTCAACTTTAACTAGTTTGTAGAAAATGTTGTGTAACATTTATATCTCCAAGTAAGTTTTATTATGAAAGTATGTTCAACGATCTATCTAATAATACTAACTATATATTATAAATATTTTTATTCTTTTATATAAAATTGGTCAAAGTTAAAAAAAATTGACTTATCGAAAAGCGAAAACGACTTCTATTTTTGGAGAGGGGGAGTATGTATAGTTGTATGTTAGCATATATGCATGCTCATTTTAAAAAAGTTCTCTTCCAGATATTTATTCTAATTTGATGTTTTATTATGCCTTGATTTAGGTTCTAAAATTGTAATCTAATACACCGTCTTGTGAAAAAATGTGACATTTTGTTTCCCTGTTTTTCTTTGTTATACAAGTAACACTTAATATTGGCAGGTGGATTACGGAGAATAACGAGAATGGCAGAGACATCACGTGCGCTTGGCTCATGTTTAAGATTTGGCCTCTAGCTAGTAGCCAGGGTAGCCCAACCCTGGCTCCACTAACACAAAAAAGCTTGTGCTTGGTTTGTTAGTACTACACTACTATAAAAAGTATTTTTAGGGCAACCGGATAACTCTTTGTAGGGACGGTTTGGCCAGCTGCCTCAACCGAATCGTCTTTACAAATCATGTATTTGTAGACGGGGTTGGTGATTGAGCCGCTCTATAAATTGATTTGTAGGGGCAGCTAGTATTACGAACCGCCCTACAAATCGATTTGTAGGGGCGGCTCAATCACCAACCGCCCTACAAATCGATTTGTAGGGGCGGTTGTAGTGTCAGCCGCCTCTATAATACCTGTTTGTAGGGACGGTTCAATTTAGAACCACCCCTACCTTATGTTTTTCCGCAAAAAGAAAATTCAAATTTATAATTCAAATTCGACCATAACTGTTTGTTTCCGCGTATTCCACGTTCCGAACCGCGATCGCGTTGCCAAACGCCCCGCGACCAACGTTCTGAACCGCGATCGCGTTGCCAAACGCCCCGCGACCAACGTTCTGAACCGCGATCGCGTTACCGAATGCCCTACGACCAACGTTCCGAACGCGACTACAAGCACAATAGTATTATATAAACTACAATTACAAGTCCAATTCGTAAGGATATATACAATCTATCATTTAATATATAAATTCCATACACATTGTTATCAACATCCTAGAGCTAGCCTTTCAGTCTCATGAAGTTGTTGGTACTGAGGATTTCACCTAAGTCAGACTCTCGGTCATGATAGGCGCCTTTGACGTGTACAATCTGGTCCAATATGAAGTTGCAAAGGTCGCCGACGAGCTCTAAGAGTTGATCATCCTTGTATGGGTCTTTTTTCATTCCTTTCTTTTCTCTCCACTATAAGAGAACAAGTTTTGGTTTAGTATTTCAAACCATGTACGAAATTTTTATACTACTGATGAAGAATTTCAAACTTACCCTTAAGCGGTGTCTCCTATAGGCACTGGTGTTACTCATCATAGAACATATATAGTATCCACAATGTACACTCCAAAGCCTCTGCTTGGGGCACTGTGTGTTTTGCATATGAAAATATTAGGTAATGCTTTTGACAGCCATATAATGGAGTACTAAAGAAGTAAGTTACACTTACCGCACATAGTGTTTTTATAGCCAGCTTTTCCTTCCTCGTTGGATCATGCCTTCCGTGATGATGAGTGACATAGAACCTAAATAACCATGTTCGAATTATTTTAGCAAATACAACTTGTTAGTATCCATAAGTGAACGTTACAAGTATGTATACAAATATATAAGCTAATGAGGATTATCGATATGTATACGTCTTGAGAATCGATATGAAGTCTTTGTATGTCGTTGGGTCCTTATCTATTGAATCAAAGACCCATGCCATGCTCCTCTCGACATCGACGGCTATACAAATCCAGTGGTTGCTGTATGGATTTAATCATAGAACTAGATAAGTTCTTTTGCATCGAATAAAATATATTGAACAAAGCTTTAAATATATAGTTAAACTTATTCAAAGTTGTATGGTAGCCATATAGTTGAGTGTTGTTGTAGATTTTTTAAAGCCAGAGCAATGTATGCCGCAACCTTAAGGGACTCTTCCTTTAGTTTCGCCATACGGATGCGCTCTTTCTCCCGAAGAGTCTTTGCAGCAGCTAACTCTTTGGCATCCAGTGTCCACTATTTAGGGTAATTAAAATTTGGTTGGACTATAGCTTGAGGGTCTACATACCCGGCTTTTAGACTTGGCATTTGTTTGACAATGTGCACTTGCATTCTACAAATCACGGCGTTGATTAGTTACAACAAAATTCAAAGATTACATTCATATCATATCAGGAGGACAAGGACTTACAAGCACCACGTGCGAATTAGATTCATCTCCATTTCTCCCAGGTAAAAGCATGTGTGCATGTCATTGAAGTCAAAGATAATTTTCCCGGCTGGGCTTCTAAATGTGCCAGTGGGGAAGCATGCTTGTACGAGATCTATGCTCGTTGGGAGAACACGCAAGTACCAATTATGGAACCTTCTCATTCCAAGTGGTAGACGCTGGATGTCCCGGTTTGGTATAAAGGGCTTGCCTCTTTCATATGTTTTTGGGCAATCCTTTGACCATTTGATGTCATCAACATTTGAATACTGCTTTGCAATTTGGTGGAGTTTGCTAGTTACGGCCTCCTCAGAACCTCATGATGGGACTTGTTTAACTTGGTTCTCAGGCTTGAACTGGTCATGTGAATACCACTTGGACACCGACAAGACGTCTTTCACCGGAATATAAACTGGCCTTATGTTGATTGGAATCTTCTTTCGAAGTTCCCATTCGGGCACGCCCTTGTCTTCTTGTGCATCACCTTCTTCAGGAGGCACTCGTTGTTCATGTATCGGCTATGCTTGTTGAGAAGATTGTGGCATCTCATCATGCACTTGCTTGGTATGAGCTAGAGAAGGTTGTGGCATCTCATCAGGCACATGCTCGCTAGGAGGCGGGGAAGAATGTGGCATCTTAGGTACGTGGTGGTCACGAGACGATGAAAATATCTCCCCAACCTCAACAACTCGCTCCAAATTTGGGAGATGGGGAGGTGGCGAAGAAGCAGTCAATATAATGTCCCGTTTGTGCCAGAGGATGAACCGCCCAATAACGTCTCTCCGAGTAACACCAAATTTCTGGAGTTGCGTGAGTCTATACTCCACTTGCATGAACTCGAGCTCGTAGTCTATACTCCACCCTAGTGTATGAACTTATTATTATGGTGTAAGCCACACGATGTGCCATGCACCTCCTCCCCTAGTGTAGTCACCAAGGTGGTATCTTATTATTATGGTGTAAGCCTTTAGCGGGAGGATATGCCACACCCGATTCTTCGGTGGGGTCACTAATATCCATGGCTCCGTGCCACCTCCATCACGCTCCTCTAAGCGTCTTAGCAACTAGAGCCTTCACTTAGAGCTCAAGACTAGTCTCCGGTCTTGGCCATGCTTAGAAACACTAAGGTGCAACTAGTTGGTTCCCCTAGCCCCACGGTGTCGATCCTTGTTTTCTAAGCCAAGG